CAAAGTTGCTCTAAATGTTGCATTGAAACTCCATTAAAAATGTCAACTTTGCATTCAATTATCATAATTTACAAAATCATGTTAGATTAACACATCCATAGTGTTAACTTTTGACAAAATACACCAGTGTTGAGTAAGTCAACACTGGTGTGTTTCAACTACTGTGAGTGTTGATTCAACTTTATCACAAATAACACTGTCAAAAGTGTAATTTCTACACCATCCAGAGTGGACCAATATAGACACTTTCAAAGTGTTAAATTCAACTCTGTAGGAGGTGAGTGAACACTTCCAAATTGATGTGTGGCATTCACTGAATGAATGCAATGCTTCAAAAACTCTCAATAGTGTTCAAGTCTCACTATATCATGTGAGACTGGACACGGCGAGGTCAGCCCGTTCGCCAAGAATCCAGACTTCCATGGCTTCTCCACCGATCTGGAGGAGGATGTGAGGAACATGAAGATGGGCTTCTTCTTGGGCATCTCTGTGGCTCTAGTTATCGGAGGAACTAGAGCCACAGTTCCTCACTATTGAACACTATTGAGACTTGAACACTCAATAGTGTTCAAGTCTCACTATAGAGTCCCCTCTCCTTTAACCCTAAAATAGAGGACACCTTAATTAAATTGCAGGTGTTCTATCCTGTACACATCTGATTGAACATCGTATTGATGTAGTTGATACATAGCTTATTAAACAACAACTTTACAGGACTAATTCAAGAGAAACAGAAGCATCAGGATGATATGGTTGATTATTTACGAGAAAACACAACTTTGCTGGGAAGATAGAAGATAACAAGTTAATTGTTTTCCTCTGTACTTGGGTTGAACCGTCTAAGGCAGGGGTCCCCAAGCTATGGCCCGCGGGCCCGCCTCCACATTTGGTCCGGCCCCCTGAACAATAGAGCATTCAATTTTTTTTTTCATTTATTGTATTTTCCGGCTTATATGTGGATTTTTCTTCAACCACCAGGGGGCTCTTTAGCAGGAAGTGTGTCCTGTAAACTGTGGGGCGCATTGCTGCCATCTGTTGGACTTTTAGGGAACTGCTTGACTTTTATGTTTAATCAGTACGGTTGTTTGCTAGCGGTAGAGCAGGTGAACACAGGTGTTTGTTATGAACGCCGCATTCCAGGTTGAATTCTTCTAAGCAATGCCTGTAAGTAGCAACTTATACTTCAAAATGAGCCCCACCAGAGAAGGGAAAAGTTATGTGGCCCTCACTGGAAAAAGTTTGGGGACCACTGGTCTAAGGTCACAGTCTGCAGGTGCAAGTACCAGAATTGTGAACTAAACTGAAACGGGATACTTCCCTTTCTTCCCCTCTTTGTAGAAGGATGGTGGATATTAAAAGCGATATACTTTCATCTTTTTTTTCACTTTCCTGGACTAGTCAGAGGAGTCATTGCTCATATTCTTTGCATAATTTCTTAATAAAATAATCATCAATATGCATTTTGATTCATTGTTGATTGACTCAGTGTTTCACTTTGGGTAAGATTTATTTATTTCCTTAATACTAAAAATGCCTTTGCTAGGCATCAAGACCCAAAGCCTTTCCTCTGGGCCTTTGTGCTCACGTGTTTGCATTTCAGAGATTGAGTGGCTGTTGTCTCCACCGAAGAGGGTAAGAAAAGATCCATCACTTCCTGTGACTGCTTGTTCCTTTTTCTTCTTGCTTTCTACCTCTTGCAGTCTCTGTCGCTCCATCTCAGGCATGTTTTTTTCTTTTGGTTTTTGTTAATTCAAATTTTTGTTTTTCTCATGTGTTGCTTTCCTTTATTTGTTATAGTTCTTAAACCTCTTTGTTTGAATTTATGCATGTATCACAGAGGAGGATAAACCAATTTTGAACATTGACAAATGTCACCAGTCACTAAAATACAATCAATACAATTCAAAGTGTTTTCTCCAGTTTATATACAATACTAAAAACATTTATTTTTTCAGTAATTTTGTCAGCCAAGAACAATGTAAATTTGACTTTTCAGCACCATGGACAGTAGCACACTGAGGTCAGATTTACATTAGATTTAAAAAGTGTACCTATGCCTTTAATGTGCATAAAGTCTGTAGATACTAACTTAATAATAATAAAAAGATTAAATTAAAAACAAGTCTTGGACTTTTAGGTTTCAGCAGAATTTTCTTTCATCACTGAAAGACGAGTGGGATACAACTTGATGGGTAAAGAAACTTACCACTAGGTGGCGCTACTAAAATATATTTACAGGATTCCGTCTGTTTTTTCCTACCTAAACAAAAGCAATCGAAGTTAAACAGTAAATGTATCCCAAAATTTAGTTTCCCAGCTAAAAGTATGATTTGAATAGTTTTTTTTGGGGGGGGTGGGGGTTGCGATACTCATTTTGAGAGTTTTGAACATTCTTTTAATGTGAAGTTTGTGGATATTAGAATGACTTTCAGAGTTGGCTTCATGTTTAAATTATTAATAAAAGAATCAATGGTTTATTTTCAACTGCGTGAAATTGCCTCATCAAATGATTCATGTTTCTATTGTTAAAAGTTTGACTAAAAAGACAACAAATCATCAAGGTTTCAACAAACCTTCCTCTCAAATTCCATCACTTTTACTGTCATTCTAATAGGATTATGTCAGAGTTTGATGGTAACTAGGTTTTAGAAAAAATGTACTCTCTGGGAGTGATTTTATTGCAATGTTCTAACAATATTTTGAAATAACACTTCTTTACCCGAGTACCCATTCTGGCTCTGCTGCCAACCTGGAGTTATTTCACTGAATTAAAGCCAAAACTCAATTTGGACAAATTGTTACTCATAATTCAAAAGTACAGTGCTTTATTTGACAAGATGTACATTACAAATAAACCTGACTGCAACTGGTCCAGAAAACCAGCTTGTGAGTTAGTTACAAAATCACCATTTAACTAATATTTACACATCTTTGGTGTCTTTGCTTTTTAAAACTGCTTAAAGCACAGAAAGGCTGAACATTATAACTAAACACAGAAAGAACAGCAATGAACTATTACATCCTCAACAAATGCAGCATAGTTTCCATAGTAAAGCTGAAGGCTGTTCATGGAAAACCTCAGAGGCTCAGAGCTTCTTTCTTCACGCTGCAACCCAACAGTTTATTTCCAGCTTCAACACACTCCGACACACATGGAGCTGAAGGAAAGAAAAAATTCACCGATGTTAGTTTTGCATCCAGTTTAACTTCTGTTTTAATACACACTTAAAAACAGGAGTTCCCTGGTGATTATGTATGTTACCGTTCTGAGCTTTAATCCATGATGCAGCCTTCATAGACAGAAGCTCCCACTCCTCCTTTGCATCCATCTTAAAAGCATGAAGCCAAATCAGAG